TTTCAACAGAGGATTTGTGGAATCCATGTCTGACTCAATTTATTTCTTTTGAACCATTGAGCCGCAGAACTTCCTGAGAATGAAGAAGGAATAATAATAATATGTGCCATCTTTCACTTGAGAAGCTGAACAGAGATCCTGTTCAGTGGCACGTTAAAGAGCGTATGACATTGTTTGAAAAGAGAAAGGAATTTTTCCCAGTATCGAGGCCAATGAACCTCCAGATGAATTGGTCATTCACCCTGTAGATGTTTGTGAGAATGAGACACAAGTGGCCTTCGTGGCTTGCCTGCATAAATTGCTATACCAAAACTTGCCTGTGAAGAGCTTTGAGATGTAAGATGCTATTCTGCTTCTTTAAACAAACAACCTTTGTTGATCATTCCCAAAGAGCGTTTGTTTAAAGAAGCAGTGCAAGTGATAAGGCGCTATAAAAATGCGACTTCTTTCTTTCTATCCCACTGTAGCTATCACCTGGAGGTTTCAGCCCAACGCTTTATTCCTCGCTCTTGTACTGTTACCAGTCCTGTAGCTTAGTGGTTAGAGCACTCGCCTCGCAAGAGTTTGATTCCCAGGCAGGGCGTAACGTTAGGCAAATTTCCTTACTCTATATACCACATGCCTCTGTTTACCGAGCTGTAAGTAGGATCACAGTTGTTAGTCCATTGGCAGATCGCTTTTCGGGGGTAATAAACCCTTAAAAAACAAGACATTTTAAAAAAATATTTTGTCACTCAATCCATGACTGTTTGTGGGACACGGGTGCCAGGTTTCGCCCACAAAATATACAGTCAATTCACTTTACAGTATATTCTGTGAAGTGCTCTGAGACGTCTCAAAGACGTGATAAGTCGCTATATCAAATGCCAGGATTATTATGATGATTATTACCAGATGTACTGCCTCAAACATTTGGCTGAAGTGTCCTTTGACACTTTCAATTGTGTTGCACGTGTAGCATGTTTTGGATGAACCCAACAATAGATGGAAAGGATTTCTCTTAAATTAATAGCTGTTTTGTTTTTGTATAAATAGACCAGACTTTGCAAATTACAAAGGCATTCAACCAGTCAAAGCAATTAACAGTAATGATAGATTATATATCATTCAGACCATTCCTTAAAATTACTTATCACATTAATTAACCTCTTTAACCCCACCAGTAGCTCATCACTTTCTTTACTAGCAATTAGGATAATGAGAACATAGAAAATTTAGAAGGTTGCAGTTTTAATTGTGTTTCTCTCTCTTTATAAAATATATAAAGTTTGAGAATGCTGAGGTATTTATTTACTCTGTTAGAATATTAGACATTGTTTTGAATTATTTGAGAAAGACATTTTCAGTGACCTGATTGTGGATTCAGAAAATCCCTTTTTTTTGCCATCTAAAATAATTAAAGATGAAGGTTTAATGATTCACCCAGAAATTAGATTTAACGACCCTTTTGATAACCATGTTTACTTGAAAGCAACAAAACAATTACTCCATTTACTGCCCTTCCTTGTAGCTTAAAGTAGTATGTCTGGGAATGTTTCCTTAAGTAACGGATAGTGTTCCTAAATGCAGAACCATGTTTCTCAGCCAGTTCTTTCAGTCACTTTATCTGGACTCTGCACATTCTATGTAAACCGGCATTATTGCAGAGTCTGTCTGGACCTTGGTAAGAGCAACATTGGATCGATCTCTTGGGAATCTATTGGGAATCTTTACCATCGGACATCAAGCTTTAACATTTTGCTTTCCGTTTGAGCACAAGATTGATGAGGGTAACTGAGCTCTTGTTGTGATTTGAGGAACACACACATGAGCGTTACACCGGGGGGGGCTGGGGGAGAGGGAAGGGAGGAGTTACTGGAAAGCGACTTGGTGGTTCTCACAGGGTTATAACTGTCAGGATGTTTTACATTCTGAGTGTTCATTGTAGAATAAAAACCTCCAACCCTTTTTAGTTGTGTTCAGTGTTCCATTATTCAAGTGGGAGTCAAAGTCGTATCATCCTTGCCTTGTTAGGTCCAACCTGCAGACCAAATTATATTAGTATGTCTCTTGAGAACTTTTTTTTTCTTTGTTATGACGTCTCTGTAATTCGCTGACCCAATGCCAAACCGAAATGCCTAGCTTCTCAAAGTATAGTCGTTACTCAACCTTCTGTGGATTAAGCAATGGGTTTAATAAATAGAATTTATTACTGGAAGTAATCGTACGCAATTAACCGTCAGTTTAGGCTAATTAATCCTTACTTACTCTCTGCTAAGCTTTTCTCGTAACCATTCAATTGAAGGTTAAGAGCGTGTCCTTTTTTGTGAAGTTATTGTTATTTTTCCCCTTGCAGCCACATTTAGTTATCTTTATTCTTTGCATTCTCTTCTATATCCACACACACCCCCCTCCAACACTCAATGACCAAGTAAGTAGGTGCTTTGTAAACAGTGACTAGCAAGGTATGATATAATTTCCAACTTTAATAATAATAATCCTTGCATCCTTGCGCCTTATTATGTTGAGACACCTCAAAATGCTTCAGAAAATATATTGTAAAGTGAATTGACTGTAATTTGTGGGCAAAACATGGCAGCTAATTGCACACAGCAGTGTTCCACATTTTTTTTGAGGGATTATTACCCCGGAAAGTGATCCACCAATCGACTAACAACCGACTGCTAGATAATAATAATAATAATCCTTGCATTTGATATAGCGCTTTTCACGTCGGGAGGACGTCCCAAAGCGCTTCACAGAACACACTGTAAAGTGAATTGACTGTATATTTGTGGGCGAACGCGGCAGCCAATTGCGCACAGCAATGTCCCACAAACAGTCGTAGATTGAAAATGACCAATTTATTATTGTTTTTGGTTTTGGAGAGATTATTATTAGACGTGTGGAGTGAGGAAACTTGCCCAAGGTTTTACCCCGCCTGGTAATCAAATCTGGGTCCTTTGCTTGCAAGGCAAGCGGACTAACCACTGCACTACAGGACTCCTTTCTCCTCTGGTATGGGGGGTGTGTTCTGATGCTATCTAAAAGGTAGTTTGAGGATTGACTGCAGAAATCTAATTGAAGTACAGATCTGAAACCTGAGATTGTGTGCACCAGCACAATTGATTTTTTTTGTTAACCTGATATAGGCTTCATACTTCTCTCGTATCTCGAAAAATGTTGAAATTTTTAAAACAAAATTGAAAAGGGATTATCGGGAGCTTTCAATAATTCTCTGTAGACCTGCCCAATATCTGTATTTGATGGCAAAAGAAAAAGTGCCAATCAATACTGGTTTCATTTTTGTAGCGAAAAGAATTGATTCTGTAATTGTCTGTGTAATTCTTTCTTTGCTCTCAAAATTAGGAACAAGAGTAGGCCATTTGGCCCATCGCATGGTCCACCACACACCATTCTATGAGCTCTATACGCCAACTTCCTCCTCAAATCCCAAATCCCTGTCATATCCCTTATCTAATTTAATTCACAGTAATTAGGTTTGAATATATTAAATACATGTCTAGTTCCCGTATTGACAGTCCAGGGCATCATTAGAGTCCTGTGGTGGCCACTCAATCCACGACTGTTTGTGGGACATTGCTGTGTACAGTTGCTGCTGCATTTCGCCCACAAAATATGCATTCAATCCACTTTACAGTATATTCTGTGAAGCGCTTTGAGATGTCTCAAAAATGTGATAATGTGCTTTATCAAATGCAAGGATTATTATTATTACATTCTGCTGTTGCCCTTGGTTTAATGCCTAATCTGAAGGATGGCACCAAAAACTATGGTGTTCCAATGGTACTGTAATGTAGCATCAGCCTTACTATAGAAGTCCTCTTTCTCTCCCTAATATAAGTTTACGATTTAATTTTAGGAACGTACTTTGAAACTTCTCCTTACGTGACAAAACCGTTAATGACTACCATGCTTTTCTACTATAGGACAATAGCGTGCCACCTGGCACTTAGTATATAGTCCTATACGAGAAGGATGACAAGAGGCTAACAAATGTTAGTCTATTTTGTCTCGGTTTAAGTACTGTCCCTATTGCATTGTGCTATTCATTAGGGATGTGTATGGGACAAATGAAACGACTGCCAGCAAGAGCCAAATGTGCAGTAATCCAGGACAGCTTGGAAACAATGCCAGCACAAGGAGGGGCAAGAGATTGTTGTCAGGAAATGCAAAGCACTCCGACAGACTGCACAGGGCTCACACAGTGCTTGCTTCCAGTGAGGCCTTTTGTGTATGCTATTGGGAATAATTTGTTCACGCTGCAATAAATGCCCTCTGTCTGTGCTTTGTTGTTCAAAACTCACTGTAAAGATTTCCCTTCGGCGATCAAACCTTTCTACAGAGCAGAAACGTTAGCTCTCTGCCTTGGGTAATGCCCTGCTTTCTGACTCTTTCTCGGGCTGCACGTTTGATAATTGCAGCCTGCACACGCTTTGGAATCCAATCTGTCCTTCCACAGGCCACGGCCTTTTTTTTTACAAAACATTGATGTCATCTAAACAATTAAATACCAGATTATTCTGTAAAGTGAATTGATTATATTTTGTGGGCGAAACGTGGCAGCCAATTTCGCACAGCAACGTCCTACAAACAGCCGTGGATTGCGTGACTGAATTGTGATTTATTTATTTAAATTTGAGGGGAAAAGCGATCTGCCAATCGACCGGGTTCCTCCTTACTGCTAGGTAAACAGAGAAGTAACTTGTGCGTTGGGTCTAAGGTCTATGTAACCTTTGAATTAAAAGTGCCTGTGTTAAAGTCAGCTGATGTGTTGTCGAGTTTGCAGTGGATATGTTTTTCATACTTTTTGGTATAAATTTGGACTCGTGTTATTGTATCTTTCTTCTGCCCGTTTCTCTCAGTTGAAGTGCTTGATTTACATTCATTAGGTTCGTCCTGAATGCCCTGCACAGCAGGGGGAGGCAGCTTGCTTTATTTAGACGTCTCAGGAGGTTGAGAATGAGAAAGCTAGTCACAAAGCTTGCCACAACATTCAAGAGCTTAATTTCCTCCTCAACTCACCATTTGAGCTTTTGTTTCTGTCTCTCACCACATTCAGTGTGGCCCTGCGTGCATCATTGGTGAACTGACTGTTCGTGAAGTAATTGGATCACTGGTGCACCTTCTGCCTCGTCTTATTGAGCAGATTACCTTCTGTGATTTTGCTCTGTAAGGCCAGACAGAACTGTCACTTTGAGAAATGTATTGTGCAGTGCTCTGACAGGGCTGGTGAATTTCCCCTCTTCTCTCTCGCACACGAACCCGATGCAGATCACTTTTTGGATGCTTGAAATGCATCTACAGTGACATTTGGATTTACTTGCTGAAGAAATTTGATCCCCCTGGAATTATAGCTGTGTACGGTTTGGTGAATTTGCTTTGCAGTGTGGTCACGGCTTTTTCTGGAGGTAATAACCTACATTTCTAAATTGGACTGTATTAGAATTGTACTGTGTTATCGAGTCAATTATTGGTTTTGTGCATGTGGGTTGTATTGATCTCACGCAGACATGATTATTGACTTTGCGTCTGTAAATCTGTAGCTTTGTCCTTTGTTTCTGGTTCAGTTATGATGGATTATGAACTGAACCATCGGAACATTTTCGGTTTTGATTTGCTGTGAACTGTGAACTGAAGAATTTTCCCAAGTGCTATACGGTGATATTGATTCATTGCACCTTTGAAACGTGCTACAGAAAGGTTGAGTGTGCCTCGTTGCTTTCAATTTTGCTTTTGGTGGTTTGAAATTTAGAGAAGGTATTTAGAAAGCTGGGGAGCGGTTACTTTTAATAATAATAATTCTTGCATTTTATATAGCGCCTTATCACATCATTGAGACGTCTCAAAGCAATTCACAGAATATAGTATAAAGTGAATTAACTATTTTGTGGACGAAGCGCGGCAACCAATTGCGCGGCAACCAATTACGCCCAGTAGTGTCCCACAAACAATCGTGGATTGAGTGACTAAATTATTATTTATGAAAGTATTATTAAAATTTAATAAAAATTGTAAAATTTGTATCAGGGAATAGCTATGTTCACATGAATGGATCCTTCAATAATTATCAATGCAAAACACCTTGCTCTTAAAAAAAATAAAATCGAAATAAAATCACCGTTTGCAAAAGATTTCCTCCCGAGTGTCTTCTATACAAGCGCACCGGGTTAGCCTGAGAAACAGTTGGAAAACCCTCCTGTCAGTCCATTCAGTGGCCGCTGCCAGTTCTTTTGTTGGTGGATTTTGTGAATGCTTTGCCATGCTCGTCTGAGAATGAAGGAGGCTTTTGTAGCTGTGAATAGAGCAAGCCGGCAGTTCTAACCTCTGTCAGTGTTCAGTAAGAGATGTGAGTTGGATTCCAGCTGGGTTGAATGGAAGGCTTGTGTTCTTGCAGGAGCCTGCATGGGTATTTCCTTGTCTGAGATGTTTTGGCCGTTGCAATAGCCACAAAAAGGTACACAGCAACGAACAATCTAACGTCTATTAATCACGATATAGGTTGTCGGGTGCTTTAGCTTATTTCCTGATTTTAGAGGAATTTAATTTATTTGAGTCGTGTTTAAAAAATGTGTCTCGAGGAGAAGGGAATAAAATCTTAACAAGGTGGTTGTTGACCCTAGCCTTGCTGAATTGAATTCACCTCCACGAACATGTAATAATAATATTCCTTGCATTTGATTTAGTGCCTCATCACACCTTTGAGACTTTGGGGTAAATTCTGTTTGAGGTTTCAATTTGAGTGTTTTTTTTTAAAAAAAGCTATTATATTGACTGCTTATTTTCATACGTAAGGAATCTTTAGAATCTCTTCTCCTGCATATTCATAAAATAAAAAGTTCTGTTCCATGGTCTTGCCTGTAAATGGAGTATATCTTTTTTAAAACTGAAGTTTTAACAACAACAGCAATGTCCACGTCGAGAGGACGTCTTATAATAGTTCACAAAACTGATAAAGTCAGAGCTGAGGAGGAGAAAGGTGGCTGAAACCATGTTTGATGAGAGGGTTTAAGGCTGGTCTTCAGGGCGAGGGAGGGGACAAGGTGGAGGGACTCTGGGATGGAGTTCCAGAGAGCAGGGCTGACTAGTTGAAGGCTCGCAAGCGATGGTTGGGACGGGGGACATGGAGTGAGCCAGTATGGAGCGGACATGGCAGTAGGGATGCTGGAGGTCACAACAATGTGGCAGGGCGGGGTGTGATTAGACCTGGAGACATTTGAGAGTGAAGACAAGAATCTTTTAAATTGATCTGCTGGGGAAATGGGAAGTTAGTAAAGCCAAGTGAAGATGGGGTGATGGGTTCATGGAACCTGGTGTACAGGTTACAGAATACAGAATACAGAATACAGGTTGCCACATTTTGGAGGGCCTTTAACTTGTGTAGTTATTAATAATAATAATAATAATCCTTGCACTTGATATAGTGCCTTATCAAGTGAAGTCTTCATTTCAAACAGTTAACCATTACGCAGCTCAACAGAGGATTGTGTTCAATTAGCTTTTCCTCAAAGATTAAGAGTACACAGAGTGAGGAACCAGTTCAAAGGACCTCTCCACTTTGAAACAACAACAGATTACATTTATGTAGCGATATTCACTTCGGGAGGATGTCCCAAAGTGCCGGAAACCTGATCACACAGGAGCATTGCCAAGGCAATGTCAACATATCATTGCTGAATAAAGCTCCTTCTATTCCGCCCCAACAGTGTATCTTAGTCCCCGACCTCAGAAGAGCACATCTACTATGTTTTTCCACTTCCTATCCTCGGGGCCTCTCTGAAAGCAGCTGCCAATTTGTGCTGACATTTGCAGAGTTTTATGCATGCTAAAAGTTTGGTTGAGCCTGCCAAAATTTTACATGGGAACTCAACAGCCAGCAGAGGAGATTTTGATCCTACCAGTATAGGCTGGGCTATAATCCAGCTCCCAGCGATGAAGGAGACCATTCTTGTATAAATGGTTATTCTTCATGGTAATTTCTGTGTGATGTTTTCTCAGAACACAGATGTGAATTTGTATGAATTTGTATTAGGTATGCGGTTCTGATGAAACCATGTTTTATGTCTCATGGTGTTGGATCTTCCAGTTACTAATGACAGAAAAGAGTCTTGGATAACTATTTAGATGACAGTCAGCTTTCCATTGCAGCAGATCTCATTAAGTGCTCATCTCAGGAGCTCCTGCAGTAAGTCAATGATCTTATTCAGTCAGTAGCTGAGCCATTGGTAAGTTATGTGTTTTTTGCTGGTTAGACTCTAGCAGTTACCCCAATGCATACTTTTGGGACCCTCAAGCCTTGGCTCTTGCCAACCTGTGCCTAATACTTTCCGGAACTAGGTAAGCAGGATGTGTCCCTCCAGGGAGAGAGAGAGTGCGCATTCCATTCCAACAATCTTATCTGTGGGATTTCCATGTGTTCGTGGGATGCATGGAATTCTCAGTTTGGTTTGGAGATTCTTAAGCACAGTGATGGGTTTCCTCAGCGTCAGACACCCGGCTGGCCAAAAAAAAATAGCCAAATGATATAGACGTCCTGATGTTTAGTGGGTCTAAGCTGTCCTATTACTTTAGGGGCTTAAACATAAGGTAGTTTCACCACCTCAAATGTGTCTTAAGTGAAGGCAGCCCATTCAAAGTGGAGATAGATTTGGTAACGCCATACTACAGTGGTTTTGCGATATTCCTGTCTTTAGATCTAAACTTGGCTTTGAAAATGATACTATGGGATCAATGAATGTTGGGTTCTTCCATTTAACAGAGCTATCTTCATCTCATCAGTCTATATTCAAACTCGCACTACAATATCAAGGTTATAACTGACTACATTACCTAGGCCCCCTATCTTTTGAAATAAATTGTACATATTATTGGGAATGACTGATTTTGTAACTTCTTTTCCATCCCTCCTGTTGTGTATATAGGAACATAGGAACAGGAGTAGGCCATTCAGCCCCTCAAGTCTGTTCTGCCATTCTATTGAATCATGGCTGATCTGTACATCAACTCCAATTATATAAGTGGGAATTGGGAAGAGAAAAAGTCTGATATTGCAATTAGAATGAAGTACGATTTGCACAAGTTCTGTTAATGGTCCGTCTAATGGGTTGTGTAACAATTGCGTTTTGAAGAGCGATCATTTTTGTAATCAAATATTCTGTATATAATTTAAAGTAATTGAAATATCAAGAGCAGAGATTTACTGAGCACGATGCCCGCATATCACTCTATAAGGCTGCACTTTAAAAAAGATTTGGGCGTTTTGATGAGCTTGTTGTTCTCTCGGATAGTGAGTACCCAGTTGTGGGTGGATAGTCAAGCACTTGAGACTCTACCATGCATGAGGGGGCGCTATATAAATGCAAGTTGTTGTTGGAGAGAGTGTCACTTGCCCATGAGAAAGGAAAATCTTTTCCAAACTAAAACTTTTGTAATTTTTATTTTAAACCAAATTCTCTCTGTGATGGATAGACCAGAGAGACCTTCTCGAATATGCATCTTACTTTGTGTTTGCTGCATGTGGAGGCTGAAGAACCCACTGGTGGCTGACTTTTGCTCCCACATTAGTGCAGCCCTTCCTCAGGGCAGTATTGTAAATTAAGTGGGGAGGTATAATTGGCAGTGTATTTTTTTTAAAACATGTGCAGTGAACCTCATAAGTCGCATCAGTTGGGACCAAACATTTAATATGACTTATGCAAATTATGAGTTATGTCAAACTTGCATAGAAAGTAAACTCTTGAACAGAACTTCGGCAAATGTACGATTTAGGTGATTATACGATTTATACAGATCAGCCTTATGTGAGTTTTACTGTAGTAGGATAACATGGGTTTAACAAAACAAAGTTCATAATTAGACACTGTTTTGCTGTAGTGCATAATTAGTAGGATTGGGTTTTGAGCAGGGACTGATATCAGTTGATGATGCGTCTGGTCTGCTAAAGGGTGGAATAAATAGCTTTTTTTTAATAAAAAAGAATATTAAACAGGCAAACCTTTCCACTCAATAAAACTTCAATGGTGCAAAAGCCGCCTTGGACAGTTGCAATAAATCTTGAAAGCAAAACATTATTAAAAACGAGAAGCGCTATGAATGAACATTATATTGGATTTTCAACAAATGTCTCATTTACCCAGGTAATAAACTGAAAGTACATTTTGAGCTTTTATTACACTGATCTCACAATCTTCTGTGCTGACAAATTGAGTATGTGTTGTAAAACGTTCATGTTGGTTGGCATGAGGATAGTATTAGTCTTTAATATAATTGCCATGTCCATTAAAATTTATAAGACTGCTTATCATTGCTGGAAGTGGTCACTGGACTCCTGGACTGAATCCTGAATTCATAAATAGATTTTCCCACATTCAGAATGCTTATTATAATTAACATGATATTAGAATCCTATAGC